GAAGAAGTCAACTCCCAGTCGCTGACTGAAGCCTCGTGCAACGTAAGGCGCCTTGAAACAGGCGGAGAACCCGGCGGCCGCTTCACCCTGAAAATCCACATGCCACTGACGATGTTCGCCCCAGGTGGAGGAACCTCGTCGACGTAGGTGCCTGTGGACTTCCAGGAAGCCATCTCTGCGTCCATGGCTGTCTTCCACTGAGAGGAGTAGGGACCCTCTATCGCCTCTGCGTAAGAGCGCAGTGGGGAAGGGCGCGCGACGGCGCAGATGAGGCAGGCGCGAGGCGCGCTTCGGGCAGGAAGGAAAAAAAAATCGACCATATGGGGTACAACCCAATTAGGGTTTGCTACATGTACTCCTGCATGCTGCTAGCTCATTTCATTCTCGTTCATTCTGCTGACATGGTTTCAGAGCAGGTCCTAGCCTAGGACCATGTTTTTTTTTTAGGGCCCACCAAACCGCGCTACCCCACGAGCCGCGCCGCCCTGTTAGCGCCGCGCCGCCCTACCCTGCCCGTAACCGCGCGACCTTTCGTGTTGCTTCCGCCCTTTCGACTTCAACCTCGGTAGTGCGTGCTTCGCTTGCTGCGATGAGGAGTGCACAGTGATGTTTCAATAATCACTATTCGTAACATTTTTTACATTCGATACTTCGTGATTTACTTATAAACAGGTACACCAAACACAACAAGGGAGCAGAACAACGCAGGGAAAGTGAGTGGTGAGGGAAAGAGAACACATTTTTTTTTAGATGCAATGATACACTATAGGAAATGTACGAAGCACAGGCAGTTGTAAGTGAGAACACATTTTCATGCAAGCCCCTGCAGGCCTTCCCGAATACAGTAAGCTTGACCGATTACACACCAATATGTACGTGTACAGTACGTGTGGCCATTTCCCATACTGAATCGTTATCCAATGAGTTCTTCTCCGCACACACTCTGCAAGGAATGCTGTGTGTAAAGTTTCACATTTCGCCAGCAGCAACCACATCTGTAAGAGGTTCTGTTGTGACGACAATACAGTACAGTACAGTTTCAGTGGGCAGCCAAGGCACCATCCTAAAATTCGGGTCGGCGACACACTGAGCGAATATGCTGCTCGATTTGATACAATGAGATAAGGTGTTTGTTCATGGAGAAACAAACAAAGGACGATGTTTGTTTCTGTACGAAACTGTTCTGAACGGTTCCCCCCCAATCCCGCTCAATGAGGCGTAAGCTCTGCACGTCTGGTCCCTCCCTCCCAGTCCCCCACACCTCCCATCCGTCACGCTTGAAACGCAACTGCCGCCGAAATAGGTTACACCAAGGATAGCGCCGGCTTCAGCATTTTCAACCACACGACGCGTGCGTGAACCCTTCCAGATCGATAAGGTTCACGGCAATTCATGTCAGTCATCCCAGCCAGGCTTCCCTTACAGTAAGCTTGACCGATACTCCCAATAGCCCTGCCCAAGCGATCATCGAGTGAGAGTCTCTTCTGGACGCTAAACACTGGCGAGACTTAAAAAGACACTCGTATTTCGCCAGCAGCAACCACACCAAGTCCGATCCCTCCCAGTCCCCCCCACCTCCCATCCTCCCACCACGTTTGAAACGCATCCGCCGACGAGATACTGCAGGTTGCATCAAAGGACAGACACGGGGCCCCACTATTCAGTGAAGCCAAAAAAGTATGCTTTCGGGACAAAACGGTCGTTTTGGGTGTAGGAATGGTGGGGAGGGTACTGTGACTAGTCACCAGAGCGCCGCTAAATCCAAAAGCACTCTACATCACGCGCTGGTGAGAAAGGTCCGAGACGTGCCACGTGGGTGTATTGCCCACGTGCATTTCTGCACCCAAATCGGACAAGATAATGTGCCTCTACGTAGATGAACACTCTTCCGCTGGCATACTATTTTTCCGATCCCCCCGAAGCTAGCCATATCCGTCGCTTCGGCAGTTCCACAGTTCCAGTGTCTTAGCTGAAATTCGAGAGCAAGAGAGCTCGACTCTCAAAGAGTCCATATCAGGGTAAATGTCTTAGACTCGGAAACGGCAGGGCGGACAGTAACGCTCTCACCTGGAATTCAAGGGTACGATTTTACTCATGTCAAGGCGTGTCAGGGCGGTACAATCGTCGAAGTCAAGTTCAGCAGGCTGACGCAAAAAACTCGCTCTGAAAAACAGGCTTATCAGGGGCCTGGTCGTGTATCTACACCCGCCGGGTGTAACCGTTCGGCAGTTCTCCAATCCCACTAGATGGAGCGAATACAATTTCCACCACTGTCTTGGCCCTCACAGTCCACCCCACCTCCCATCCATCACGTTTGAAACGGATCCGCCGAATTAACAGCACCAGCTTGAGCATTTTCCATCCACACGACGCATGCGTGAACCCTTCCAGATCGATAAGGTTCACGGCCGCAAATCTGCTGTGCAAGGTTGAGAGAAAGGGGAAGCGGGGAGGGGGGCTTCCCCGAGGGGAAAGAGAAGAGATGGTGGATCGAAGACGTCACGGAACGGTGAGGCCGGGATCATAAAGCTAATGGCTGTTCCACAGATGTCTTTCAAAGCTCCACCAGGTCAGTGGACATTGTTTCCGTTACTCTTTCCTTCGAGTAGGCAGCTATCTGTTCTCGAATGCTACACTGGTGCGGCAAAATGGTGGTAAGATAGTTTGTAGGAGCTATGGCGGCGCGACTTGCCTATGTAATGACCGTGCTGCTGCTCCTGTCGAGCGGCAGCACTTGGCCAGGGGGCAGTAAGCTGGCGAACCAATCTCACGGCGTCACGGTCCGAGCAAGCGTCGCCATAAAATCAGCGCAAGGTTGGCACCGAGCTGAGTAGTTGTAGTATGAAACCCTTTGTCCGTGGCAAGCGCCAAAACTTGTGGTAGGAAGGAGAGGACGGTGGTAGTCTAGCGTTCCTCTGCATCACAACTTATGAGGAAGTTGCCTCAGCACTCCCGCTCCCCCTCTAGAACACATGAAACTGCAACGCTAATGCGACTAGATGGCCCCTAACCACGAATTCTCCCACTGCCACCCGCCGCCCTCTCGCAGTGTCAGCGCTGGTAGCCATCAAGTCCGCGCTGGGCCTGACGTTCACCAAGTGGTCATCCGATAGACCTTCCCAGTGCGGTGTCTTTCCTTCGCGATTGGGTACGGACTGGGACAGAATCTTCTGCAACAGTGGCGGGAACGTGATTGCAATGTAAGCCGAGTGTTGTGCTCACGGCTGCGTGCTTGTCGTTCCTCTGATTAGCCCTTAGCAATTGCCTATTTCTTTTTGATGACTAACCGTGGCCTATTGTGTGTGTGTATGTGTGTGTGTGTGTGTGTGTGTGTGTGTATGTGTGTGTGTGTGTGTGTGCGTGCGCGGCTCGCGCGCGTGCGCTCGCGCACGTGCGTGTGTGTGTGCGTGTGCGGGTGGTGACCCAATCTCTCCAAATCTGAGTTGTTGACAGGGATTTGTCTGTGCTCTTGATAGCCCGCTCAGACCTCCCCAGCCAGTTGACCGTACTTTCGGCGCTAACTTCATTGTGAGTAGACACCCTAATGATGCTTGTTCCCTAGATGCTACATGATACTGATCCTCGACATTGTTTTGCCCTGAGATCTGTCTCTGCCACGGTCTTACTCGCAGATCAATGGATAGAAACCTGCTGGACGGCAACATGGGGATTTACCTAAAGTATCTCACTGGCCTCTCCGGCCTCCAAAGCTTGTGAGCATCCGTGGCTGCTACTGTCCGTGGTCTATTGCTGCCCCTACAAGTATACAACCATCCGTCCAACCATTCATCAAATCCATCATCCGTCCGTCCGTCCGTCCGTCCGTCCGTCCGTCCGTCCCTCCCTCACTCCCTCCGTCCCTCCCTCCCTCCCTCCCTCCCTCCCTCCCTCCCTCCCTCCCTCCCTCCCTCCCTCCCTCCCTCCCTCCCTTCATTTTTTCTTCCTTTCTTTCGTTCCTGATTTTTTTCGTTCTCTTTTTTCACCCTTTTACCACTTTCCTCATTGTTGCTTGACAGGTCCATGGCCAATATGTATTTCTCTGGACAGTTTCCCAGCTTCCTCCTAGACTCAACGAGCCTTACTGCTCTGTAAGTATTGTGCCATCGCTGTCCACTTATCCATCGTTATCCTCGCTCCCCCACCTCATCTACCCCAATTTTCCCCTCCTTCTCCCCCCCACCCCAGATCACTGCTACTACGATCTTCCCGCACTCACAACCCCCAAATCCCCCCTCTCCAACACTCCCCTACAGGGACCTCTCATACAACTACCTCACCGGCTCCCTCCCATCCACCATCACCAAGATCAAGTCGCTCAAGATCACCAACAACTTTCTCGTGGGTTCTCTGCCATCCTCCACCTGGACCACGTGCACCTGCCACGTCAACTGCCTTAGCTCCATCGGCACGTGCGAAAGCACCTCTCAGCGTTTGAGTGGCGACTGTGCCATTTGCGGCAGCACTGATGGCACTGGCACGCTGTGTATTCCGGGCAGTTGTGCGAGCCGGATGACGACGCGAGAATCTCCGCCAAGACTCCGAACAACTTACAAAGTGACTTGGCGCTGAGGTGTAAAGTCTACAGCGCTGTTCTCATTGAAGCTACTCAGGGTGAGTGCGCCACACGTCGCTCACATAATCTGCTACCACCACACTTGCAATCTTGTGCCCCTGCACCCTTGCACTCGTGCAGTCTTGCACTTTCGCACTGTTGCAATCTTGCACTCTCGCGATCTTGCAATCTTGCTTGTTTAGCAGTTTTGCACTCTTCCATTCTTGATTTTCTTGTAATCCTGTAATCTTACACTCTTGCATGCACGTATCCGTGCACTCTCACACTCTTGTAGCACTAGCACAACACTCTTGCACACTTGTGCTCTCACACTCTCGCACTCTTGCACTCTTGCACCCTCGCACTCTTGCACCCTCTCACTCACTCTCTCAATCGTTCTTCACACTTAACCCGCCGGACCCTCCCCCATCTCACGGCAGCCAATGCAATGCTGGCGTTGAAGACTGCTCTGGGTGTGACCCTCACCACGTGGGCCTCCACCAACCCCTGCCGCCTCACCGGGAAATCAACGCCCCTCCAGAACGAGTGGACTGGCGTCTTCTGCAATCTCGCCAGCTCCGTGGAGTCCATGTGAGTCGGCAGTAGGGCAGCGGGGTAGGGAGGCAATGGGGCAGTAGGACTATGGTCATTGGTTGGGTATTGGGTGGAAACCGCGTGGAGCATAACCGAATATACCAATCGTTCCAACTATTTGTTACTTTGCCTGACGGAGTCGAGTACACTTCACGGCAGGTTTTTTAAGCTAGATGTAGGCGACAAAAGAGAGGAGGGACGGGAACAACCGACTGCTGACCTTTCAGTCAGCCTCTATCACCTTCCCCGCACACCCATCTGTCTGCCTCCCCCATCACCCCCCTACAGCTCGGTGGCGCGTCAGAGCCTGAAGGGTTCTATCCACTCGGACATCTCCAAACTCACTGAGCTCACTTACCTGTAAGGGTGAATCAGAGAATGCACACACACAGGTAGGCTGCACTGGAACGGGAAATGCCTAATTGTCGAGTGACTGTAATTGTCAAGGAAACAACGTTTCTTGTTCACAAGTGCTGCTGCTGGAGGGGTCCATGGCATGGAGTAAGAAAAATGGGAAGCGATATGGATGGACATTTTGTTTTGGTCTCATGACATGTCCATAGTGTGAATCTGCATGCATGCCTGCATCTGCAGGCAGAAGAAAGGGTGAATCATGCTGCTGATGTAGCATCTCTCTCTCCAAGCCAGCCTGCCTAACAAACCATAGTTCCCCTCTGGATGTGTGATTCACAAAGCTTAAATTCACCCTCACCTGCTTCAGGGATTTTGGCTACAACCTTTTTGGAGGCAGTCTCGGGGGGTTTGCCACACCAATCAAAGCCATGACCACTCTAAAGGGGCTGTGAGAACAAACTCCTCTATAGGGGCTGTAAAGATGTTGTCATCATCGGTTGTGTGCAGTGCGTGTATGATATACAAGCCGTGCAGAATTCCAATTCCGGTATCATTGTGCATCCCTTCCTCTGGCCGTTCTCAATATGCATTCTTCAATAACCTCTCATTCTCTTCCCTCCTGGTGCATTCCTGCTCCTCCCCCCCCAGCTTTCTCAGCTACAACTGGTTTGATGGAACTATTCCCTCCACCATTGCTTCTCTGCCTCAGCTCACCACACTGTAAGCCATACTAGACATTGAAAATGAGCACGAACTGAACCCGAACAGGTTCGGTCCCAACTTCGTTGAACTGCTCTCATGGTCAAACGGAACCGGTTCGGTTCAACCCAAACCTTGTTAGACCCAAAGGGTTTGAGGATTGGCAGTGCACTGTCCAACCTGTCCAGGTTCCATTAGGCTCGTCATTTCCTCTCTGCCCAACACAGGGGTTCAAGGAAAGGATCATGCCTGAAGGCGGGTTGCTTCCCTTATCTTTCTCACATATCGCTTCTGTGTTACTCTCATGACTCACGCCTGCTCCCCTCTCACCCCTCTCTCTTCCCCCACTCTCCTCCCCCACACACTTCCCCCAGAGGCATCTTCTCCAACTACCTCACGGGCACCATGCCCATCCCCTCCACCTCCCTGGTCGCTCTGGACGTGGGCTTCAACTACCTCTCGGGCTCCTTCCCCAAGCTCTCTCTCGCGGTCTGTGCGGCTGACCAGAACTGCTTCCTCAACTCCTCCTTTTGCCGCACCTACGGCTCGCTGCAGCGCCCCGCCACTGCCTGCGCCATCTGCGGCACGACCGACGGGCAGGGCACGCTGTGCTCTGGTGGACTTTGCTCCGCCAACAGCTCTCTGCCAGTCAGCCAGGGCATTGTCAATACCCCCTCGGTGCCGCCGGTGTCCTTGACTTGTGGCAATGGTGCGTGTTTCATGTTGAGCGGCAGAGAGGATAGGGAATGACACGCTCTGTCAAGGGAATGATAAGATGTTGGCCTGGCAAGGGGGGGGGTGCCACCATTCAAATCTGGATGCAACACCTCCATCTATTTGTATGTTCATTTTACATCAATGTTTTCTGAAAATTCTGTTTGAAGCATTTTTTACCTGAATCTTGTCTGACTGACTGTAATGTTGGTTCGTGCCTATGACTCTTCCCCCTGGTGCCCATACAGGAGATGCTCCCACAGTCCTCATGAATGCTGCCTCAGGTGGGCCTTTTTTCTTAACGCCAACATCCTTTTCCCTCCCACTCTCTTTCTGCACTCTCACTCATTCCCGGCACTCACCAACATACCTGCATACATCTACCACATTCTCTCTTAATTCTTTTTCAATCGTGCTTAAATCCACCCTCCCCACTTTACCCTTTCCCTCCCCATTCTCTCCATCCAGTGTCCGCGATGCTATCCGTCAAGTCATCCCTGGGTTTGACGTTCACGAATTGGGTCTCCTCCTCTCTTTGCCCTGCGGGCGGTGGATTTCTCCCCGGGGGAGCCACCACCTGGAATAATGTTCAATGCCTCATGGATGGGGCACCCAAGCAATTGTAAGTTCCTGAAAAAAATATATAAATGTTTCAAACAATCGCGGAGCAATCACATACTTGTAATTGAGTCTGCTCTGCATGTCCCTGCTAGGCTCCTGTTAACATGTCCAGTGCAGGAAGCTGCAGTACCTACCAATATCTCGTATTAGGACCGCTCTAGAAGCAGTCTTGGTATAAGACCTGGGGTATATCACCACAAATGGGACGACTCACACACACTCTTTGCACTTCATATGTCGGTCCATAAGCCATGCATATTGTTAGAATTATTCCTATGCTCCCCACCTGTTGTACATTCAATCCAATTGTCTGCAGGTACTTAGCAGGCATGGCACTGAAAGGCACCAGCCTGCCTGCTGACATGTCCAAGCTCACTGCCCTCACATATCTGTCAGTCTCTCTCAAACGATCATAGCGGCCTTACATACATGCAAACTTCCAGATTTTAATAAAGTAGGGACATTTTCATGCAACTTCAACTCCTGTTTCTCTCTCTCTCTCCTCACGCAGTGTGTGATGTTGCTCTGCCTCTGCTGCCACGTGATTTCATGCGATGTGCTCTCATTCAGCGTCACGCCATGTGCTGCCATGCATGCCATGCCATGCCATGCCATGCGTGTACTGCCTGTGTTCCCATCCGCCTGCCCTCAATCAGGAGTCTTGAATTAAACCTCCTAAACGGCCGCTTGGAAGACTTCGTGTCCAGCCTCAAGGGGTGCACAGCTCTACAGTTTTTGTGAGCCGTCAAGTCAAGAGCATGTGAGCAGTCAAGGCAGCATCATGTGATCAGTCAAGAGCATATAAGCAGTCGCATATGAGCAAGCAATCAAGAGCATGTGAGCAGTCAGGAGCATGTGAGAAGTCAGGACCAGAACTGCTTCCTGAGCTCCTCCTACTTCCGCAGCTACAGCGCTCTCCAGCGTGTCGCCTCTGCCTGTGGCATCTGCGGCACGACCAACGGGCAGGGAACGCTGTGCGGTGGTGCAACTTGTTTTGCCAACAGCTATGTGCCAGTGAGCCAGGGAATCGTCAATGTCTCCTCGCTGCCGCCAGTGGCCTTGAGTTGTCCAGGTGCGTGTTGCGTGATGACGGGCAGAGAACGCTGTGCTCTGGTGCACTTTGCTCCGCCAACAGCTCTCTGCCTCGCTGCCGCCGGTGTCCGTGGCCTGCCAGGGTTCATGTCGCTTGTTGATGGCAGAGAAGAGAGGAGATCCACATAGCACACAGTGGACCACCACGATTGAGATAAGAATGCAGCTATTTTCCACGTGAATTTTGTCTAACTGTTCTGCTGGTTCGTGCCTCTTACTGTTCTCTGTGTGTACTGGTACAGGGGATGCTCCTCTAGTCCTCATGAACGCTGCCTCAGGTGGGCCTTCTCTCCTAACGCCATCACCAATGCCCCTCCCACTCTCTTCCTGCACTCCACATATTCCCTGCACTTACCAATCAAACTGACCCCTACGCCCGCGCATATGTCTTCCTCCACATTCCGTCTCTCAACCCCTCCCCAAATCAAGCTTAATCCGTCCTCCTTCGCCTTTCTCTTTACCCCTGAATCTCTCCGTGCAGTGTCCGCGATGCTTTCCATCAAGTCCTTTTTTGGATTGACGGTCACAGACTGGGATGCCTCCTCTCTGTGCTGCGGGCTTCGGCAGTACCCCAAACGGAGTTGCCACCTGGAATCGTGTTATTTGCTCCAATGACGGATCACCTTCAATTGTGTAAGTGCTCCAAGAACACACGTCTGTGTGAGTGTTCCAGAAAATCATAAGTTGCAAGTATTTCAAACAACTTGAGGCATACCAATCGGACGCCCCACTCTTTGCACTTCATCTATCCATCGATCCATCCGTTCGGTTAATTTTCTCCCACTGCTCCCTATCCGTTGTACCACATGCACTTGTCTGCAGGGGCTTACACTTCTCGGATTTGAAGGCCACCATCCTGCCTGCCGACATGTCCAAGCTCACTGCCCTCACAAATCTGTCAGTCCCTCTCTTCAAACATGGAAGCATCTCTGCCTGCTGTTTCTATGCCTCTGATGCCTTGCCACGTCGAGCCATGTGCTGCCATGCCACGTCATGCGTGTACTCTCTGTGTTCCTATCCACCTGCCCTCAATCAGAATACTTCAAAATAATCTCTTCACCGGCCGCTTGGAAGTCTTCGCCTCCAGCCTCAAGGGATCTACATCTCTAAAGAGCCTGTGAGCCGTCAAGTGCACGTGTGCAGTCATATTTATGTGAGCTTGTAAGTTGAGTATCGTAATATGAACAACATGACCGTTGAAGGGTTAGTAATCCTTGCACCTGGCTGCAAATGGAGACAAATCAGCTTCACCATAAGATCTTATTAATGTCCTGGCATTTTAATTTCACATATCAACAAGCAGTACCCTTGCTTCTCAAGGGAACTATGAGGGTTTGCTGCTCTCTCAGAACTATGAGTTTGCTTCTCGGATCCGAGTGTCGCTAGGAGCCGGTTCAATTGCAGCATGTTGCGCTTCGTCGGCCTGAGTGAGTGTCATTAATCTGGCCACCAACTGTCCCGCCCTTCACTTGGCAGAGCACTAGAGAGCAACTATCTCTACGGCTCAATCCCTTCGTACCTCGTGAATCTCCCAGCACTCACAAATCTGTAAGTAGCATCGTGCCATACCTTCTAATATGAGGCTTTCAGACCCTTTCCCTTCTCTCAACTGTGATTCTTGTCTCCCCTCCCTCCCCTCATACTCAACCCCTCGTCACATACCCTTCTGTACCCCCACTCTCATCTCCTCAGAGGGCTCAGTACTAACTTCCTCACTGGTAGCATCCCAGCCATGAGTACAGCCTTGAAGCAGCTCTTCATCTCAAACAACTACATTATGAGCATCCCCACCCATTCACTCACCAACTGCGCCGGCTCTATGAACTGCCTCTCCAATCCCTCCAAGTGCGCCTCTGACGAGACCACCCAGCGACCTGCTGCTGAGTGCGCCATCTGTGGCACTACCAATGCCGTCGCTCCCTTTTGCTGGGGCGCCGGCGGGGAGTGTGTGGTCGCCGCTGCTGCTAACATTGCAGCCGGCAAATTAGCATACCTCAAGCCTGCCCCACCCATGGTCTGCTCAGGTAACGTGCCTTAACCCTCTGTGTGGGTTCCACACTCTCCTTAGCCACCTCACCTCAGCGTTGGTGCAGCAGGCTTGGGTGTGTCTGGGCAGGATGTTCTCACATAAGTGAATCTGCGTGGTCCTTTCTGAGTGGTGTGTCTGTCAAGTTGTTTTCCATACTCGTGCACCCTTCTTGTTTTCCTCTTCTGCTGCTGCTGCGGCTGCCAATGATGAGGATGATGACGATGATGAGGAGGATGAGGGTGATGAGGAGGATGAGGATGATGATGATGATGATGATGATGATGATGATGATGATGATGATGATGATGATGACGACGACGACGACGACGACGGCGACGACGACGATGATGATGTTGACGATGACGATGATGATGATGACGGTGATGATGCCGGTGATGATCGTGATGCATTCACTAACCCACCTACCCTCTGTACGTACGGGCTGTAACCTCCCTGTGACCTACTGTGCAGGTGGTCCTATAACTGCCGTACCATCTACCAGCGCTGCAGGTGTGTGAGGGCTGCTCCTTGTCTTGTATTGTCATCCATGCACACGTAGGTTTTGGTGGTTTCTCAAAAGTCCTCTAATGTCTTTCCCTCCACATCCCTCTTAATCCTTGTACTTTCCCCCCCTTTCCAATTCCACTCTGTCTCTATTTCCTCCCACCCCCACCCTTACCCCCCCCCCCCCCCGTCCCTGTCCTCCCCCTTCGCCAGCACTGCTGGCGCTCAAGGCATCGCTGGGTGTGACGTTCACCACGTGGGCAGCAACTGTGCCATGCGAAGTGGCTGGAAAGCAGGCTGCCACACAGACCACGTGGTCCGGTGTGCTCTGTGGCGACACCGGGGACGTGCTTTCCATGTGAGCACCCATGCATGCATGGTAAAACTTTGTGGGAGGGAAGAAGGGGATCAGACAGGTAACCAGCCGGCCTCTATCAACTCCTTCCACACCCATCCCTCTGCCTCTTCCCATCACCCCCCTCAGCTCGGTGGCGCGTCAGAGTCTACAGGGGTCTATTCATGCAGACATCTCCAAGCTCACCGCGCTCACTTACCTGTAAGGGTGAATCAGGGGGCACACACACAAGAACCCGTGACACTCGTACACACAGACAGGATGACTGTGCAGAGGGAATGCCTTGACGTCGAATCGAGTGCCTGTGTGCCACACACCAAGGAGAAGTAGTTTCTGGTTCCGCATTTGAACACCCCCTGCTGCTGCTGGCGGCTGGCCCATGAGCTCCAGTCGGTTGAACACGAAGTGAGGGAGATGGGAAGGGACACGGACGGACCAATTTGTTTCTCCCCTCATATGGTAATGGTGAGGTGAACGGCCGTCATTGGCCCCCCAGTTCATACTGTCCTTCTCCCCAACCCATCATGCGACCTGCCTACAGCACAACTCTTCCCTTCCAGATATCCGCTACGCATTCTTGCCTCTTCCCCACCTGCTTTAGGGATTTCGGCTACAACCTTTTTCAGAACAGTCTCAACGGGTTTTCCACACCAATCAAAGACGTGACCACTCTCAAGGCGCTGTGAGTTCCCTCTCCTCTGTAAGAGCTGGAAAATCGTTCCCAAAATTGCTGATGTGTAGTGTATGGTGTTTACATTACAGAGTCAGCCGATAAAAAAAAATGTTATCACTCTGTAACCTTTCCTCGGTATGCATTTTATGTGGACCTCTCATTCTCTTCTCTTGTGGTGCATTCCTGCTTCTACCCTCCAGCTTCTTCAGGCCAGCAGCTCCAGCAGCACCTCCAGCACCAGCAGCAGCTCCAGCACCAGCAACATCTCCAGCACCAAGAGCACCTCCAGCAGCACCTCCAGCACCAGCAGCACCACCAGTAGCCCTAGCAGCACCTCCAGCACCAGCAGCGCCTCCAGTAGCTCCAGCAGTACCAGCACCTCCAGCAGCTCCAGCAGTAGCTCTAGCACCAGCAACACCTCCAGCACCAGGAGTACCTCCAACAGCACCAGCACCTCCAGCAGCTCCAGCAGCACCAGCAGCTCCAGCAGCAGCAGCACCGCCAGCAGCTCCAGCAGCACCAGTAGCACCATCAGCAGCCCTAGCAGCACCTCCAGCACCAGTAGCACCTCCTGCAGCCCTAGCAGCACCTCCAGCACCAGCAGCACCTCGACAGCGCCGAGAGTATATGGAACAATTCCCTCCTTCATCGCCTCCCTGCCACAGATTACCACCCTGTAAGCCAAGCACACAGCTTCTGGGATCCGCAGATGCATACAGGAGCTTCATTGCACACCTTCCTGGTCTTACCCTCTTCTCTCTCACATCTCACTTTCGGCTCACTCTCATGACTCTATCTGTGCTGCTTCTTCTTCAGTTTCCTGAGTTCGCCTCTTCATTCCCCCCTAAATTTCTCCACCCCCAGAGGCCTCAACTCCAACTACCTCACGGGCACCTTTCCCTCATTCTAGCATCACCCATCTCAATCTCGTGCCTCTGTTCATTCGCCTTTTCCCTCCCCACCTCGTGCCTGTGTTCTCGCATCTTTTTCCTTCTCAAATTGTGCCTGTGTTCATTCGGACCCCCCAGAGGCCTCTTCTCCAACTACCTCACGGGCACCATGCCCATCCCCTCCACCTCTCTGGTCGCTCTGGACGTGGGATTCAACTTCCTCTCGGGCTCCTTCCCCCAACTCTCCCTCGCGGTCTGTGCGGCTGACCAGAACTGCTTCCTCAACTCCTCCTACTGCCACAGCTACGGCGTGCAGCAGCGCCCCACCTCTGCCTGCGCCATCTGCGGCACGACCAACGGGCAGGGAACGCTGTGCGGTGGTGCAACTTGTTATGCCAACAGCTATGTGCCAGTGAGCCAGGGAATCGTCAATGTCCCCTCGCTGCCGCCGGTGCCCTTGGTTTGTCCAGGTGCGTGTTGCGTGTTGACAGGCAGGGAGCGCTGTGCTCTGGTGCACTTTTCTCCGCCAACAGCTCTCTGGTGCACGTCCCCTCGGTGTCCTTGGCCTGCCAGGGTGCGTGTCGCTTACTGATGGTAGAGAAGAGAGATTTTAAAGCAGCCAAGGACAAATAGCAGAGCAGGGTCAAGGAATTGACATGACGTGCCTGGGTATGTGGTGTACCACCACCACTGAAATAGGAATCCATCGCTCTGCCTGTTTCTTGCTCAAGGCCACCATCCACATGCCCTTTTTTACATCAAAATTCCCAATTATTCTCCACCTGAATGTTTTGCAGCTATTTTACACATGAATTCTGTCCAACTGTTCTGTTGGTTCGTGCCCCTTGCTGTTCTCTGTGTGTACTAGTACAGGGGATGCTCCTCTAGTCCTCATGAACGCTGCCTCAGGTGGGCCTTCTCTCCTAACGCCATCACCAATACCCCTCCCACTCTCTTCCCGCACTCCACATAATCCCTGCACTTACCAATCAAACTGACCCCTACGCCCGCGCATATGTCTTCCTCCACATTCCGTCTCTCAACCCCTCCCTAAATCATGCTTAATCCGTCCTCCTTTGCCTTTCTCTTTACCCCTGAATCTCTCCGTGCAGTGTCCGCGATGCTTTCCATCAAGTCCTTTTTTGGATTGACGGTCACAGACTGGGATGCCTCCTCTCTCTGTGCTGCGGGCTTCGGCAGTACCCCAAACGGAGTTGCCACCTGGAATCGTGTTATTTGCTCCAATGACGGATCACCTTCAATTGTGTAAGTGCTCCAAGAACACACGTCTGTGTGAGTGTTCCAGAAAATCATAAGTTGCAAGTTCCAGAAAATCATAAGTTCCAGAAAATCATAAGTTCCAGAAAACTGGAGGCATACCAATGGGACGCCCCACTCTTTGCACTTCATCTATCCATCGATCCATCCGTACGGTTAATTTTCTCCCACTGCTCCCTATCCGTTGTACCACATGCACTTGTCTGCAGGGGCTTACACTTCTCGGATTTGAAGGCCACCATCCTGCCTGCCGACATGTCCAAGCTCACTGCCCTCACGAATCTGTCAGTCCCTCTCTTCAAACATGGAAGCATCTCTGCCTGCTGTTTCTATGCCTCTGATGCCTTGCCACGTCGAGCCATGTGCTGCCACGCCACGTCATGCATGTACTCCCTCCTGTGTTCCCATCCGCCTGCCGTCAATCAGAATACTTTAAAATAATCTTATTACCGGCCGCTTGGAAGACTTCGCCTCCAGCCTCAAGGGATCTACATCTCTAAAGAGCCTGTGAGCTGTCAAGTGCACGTGTGCAGTCATATTTATGTGAGCTTGTAAGTTGAGTATCGTAATATGAACAACATGACCGTTGAAGGGTTAGTAATCCTTGCACCTGGCTGCAAATGGAGACAAATCAGCTTCACCATAAGAGCTTATTAATGTCCTGGCATTTTAATTTCACATATCAACAAGCAGTACCCTTGCTTCTCAAGGGAACTATGAGGGTTTGCTGCTCTCTCAGAACTATGAGTTTGCTTCTCGTATCCGAGTGTCGCTAGGAGCCGGTTCAATTGCAGCATGTTGCGCTTCGTCAGCCTGAGTGAGTGTCATTAATATGCCCACCAACTGTCCCGCCCTTCACTTGGCAGAGCACTAGAGAGCAACTATCTCTACGGCTCAATCCCTTCGTACCTCGTGAATCTCCCAGCACTCACAAATCTGTAAGTAGCATCGTGCCATACCTTCTAATATGAGGCTTTCAGACCCTTTCCCTTCTCTCAACTGTGATTCTTGTCTCCCCTCCCTCCCCTCATACTCAACCCCTCGTCACATACCCTTCTGTACCCCCACTCTCATCTCCTCAGAGGGCTCAGTACTAACTTCCTCACTGGTAGCATCCCAGCCATGAGTACAGCCTTGAAGCAGCTCTTCATCTCAAACAACTACATTACGAGCATCCCCACCCATTCACTCACCAACTGCGCCGGCTCTATGAACTGCCTCTCCAATCCCTCCAAGTGCGCCTCTGACGAGACCACCCAGCGACCTGCTGCTGAGTGCGCCATCTGTGGCACTACCAATGCCGTCGCTCCCTTTTGCTGGGGCGCCGGCGGGGAGTGTGTGGTCGCCGCTGCTGCTAACATTGCAGCCGGAAAATTAGCATACCTCAAGCCTGCCCCACCCATGGTCTGCTCAGGTAACGTGCCTTAACCCTCTGTGTGGGTTCCACACTCTCCTTAGCCACCTCACCTCAGCGTTGGTGCAGCAGGCTTGGGTGTGTCTGGGCAGGATGTTCTCACATAAGTGAATCTGCGTGGTCCTTTCTGAGTGGTGTGTCTGTCAAGTTGTTTTCCATACTCGTGCACCCTTCTTGTTTTCCTCTTCTGCTGCTGCTGCGGCTGCCAATGATGGTGATGATGATAATGATGATGATGATGGTGGTGGTGGTGGTGGTGGTGGTGGTGGTGGTGGTGGTGGTGGTGGTGGTGGTGGTGGTGGTGGTGATGACGATGACGATGACGATGATGTTCATTGTGATTCAATCATCCGCCCAAACACCCTCTTTACGGGCCGACCTCCCTGTGACCTACTGAGCAGGCGGTGCTATAGCAGCGTGCCATCTACCAGCGTTGCAGGTGTGTGGAGGCTGCTCCTTGACTTGAATTTTCATCCATGACACGTAGGGTTTTGGTGGTTTCTCTTCTCAATATTCTTCCAATGTCTTTCTCTCCACATCTCTCCTAATCCTTGTACTCCCAACCCCCTTTCCAACTCTTCACTCTGTCTCTATTTTCTCCCACCCCCACCCTTACCCCTCCCCCCTCCCCGCCCTCCCCCTTCGCCAGCACTGCTGGCGCTCAAGACATCGCTGGGAGTGACGTTCACCACGTGGGCAGCAAGTGTTCCGTGCCAAATGGTTGGCAAGCAGGCTGCCACACAGACCACGTGGTCCGGCGTGCTCTGTGGCGATAGCGGGGATGTGATCTACATGTAAGCAAAGCACCCATGATTCAACCATCCATGTGATAGCTTGGCATCTAGCGCCAACCTTTGAATGCTTTCAGATGCATTATTTCCTGCAACCATGCGTTCATGTGAGCGGGCTATTACGATGATGAGAACTTGTATTTTGTTTTGTTTTTGTTTTTGTTTTTTTTTGGATCATTCACAGTTTCCCCCATCCCTGATGCTAACCTGTCTGCCTGCCTCTCTCACCTCCCTCACACCCTTCTCCTCAGCTCGTTGGCAGATCAGAGTTTGAAGGGATCTATTAATGCAGACATCTCCAAGCTCACCGCACTCACTTACCTGTAAGGCTCGAATGGAAAGTGCTGCTTGTAAGGCAGAGCCATGTTTAATCGCCAAGGTATTCTTGTGTTCTGGTCGGATGATAGACTCTCTGCTACCCAATGCAACGTATGTGGACGTAAATATGAGCACGAACCGAACTCAAACATGTTTGCGCAAACCTTTTCGAACCTTGCATGTTGGTCGAACCGAACCGAACAGGTTTGCTCGAACTTTTTTCAGACTTTTAAGGTTTGAGATTCGAGTATACAATGGCGAACCCTAAAGGTTTGCTAAAACCTTCTAAGGTTTGAGCGAACTCGAACCTTTTCATGTTTGAGGTTTAAAATGATGCACATCTTATTCTACAACACACGCATGTCTAATGGTTTATGGACAGCATCACTAAACTGTTAAACCTAACAAACAAGTTAAGGTTTGACACATCCTAATTTGGAGCTGAGGTGAAAGAACGGTAGTGGGGAGGGAGGCATTGGGTGAGCTAGAGTTGATCTAGATCTCGATATCTACTCTGCTACAAGATTAGGGTTGGCTGCCTCAACTGGCAGCCAACGTTCGACTTTCCCGTTTTTGACGGGAAAGTCGCGAGCGTATTCTTTCTGACGTTAATTTGCTTCGAACCCCTCGCGGTTCGAATTTGACCCTTTTCAAACCTCGAACCTGTTCGGTTTGAGGTTCGAATCTCGAACCGGAAAAGTTTGCGCAAACTGTTCGCGCGAACTTTTTCGAGGTTTGCTCAAACCTTTTTCGCAGAAAAAAAAGTTCGGTTCGAGATAACTCGAACCGAACATCTCGAACCGAACTTAAGTTCGGTTTGATGCTCATATCTATGTGGACGTTATTTCTCTAAATTCTGCCCTCACATCCTTGTCAGTTACCCACTCATCTTTTCCATCTGACTCCCCAAAACTTCTTCTCTTCCTCTCCTCCCTCCCCTTGTCTTGCTCCTTCTTCTTCCCTCTCACTCTCTCATTCTCTCCCTTGACCTCTGTATAACCCTCATCCTCCTTTTCGGCTTCCTTTGCTAGGCCACAGAACTTTTGCTGCTTCCGCAATCCTCCCCTCCCGTGGCGTTGTAACATCCCATCCCGTCCACCTGGAGCATTCATTCATCCTGCTCTTGATCTCATCTGAACCCAGGAATCCACTTCTGCTTCCATCCACAAATTCAGATACGCATCCCAACAACCTCGGCACGCTGCTTCCATCCAACCTTCCCCCCTCGCCCTCCTTCCCCCAATGCCTCAGGGACCTGTCGAGCAACCTCTTCCGCCAGAACCTCGCCTCATTTACTTCTGGCTTCTCCAAACTCCAGGCCCTCAAGCAGCTGTGAGTGAAGGAGGAGAGAAAGGGGATTAGCTGGACAAGGAGCCTGATGGCCTGATCAGGCCATCAGGCTCATTCACTTCTGGCTTCTCCGCCCATGCTGTGAGAGTGCCACACCCCCATCCCATGTTGCACTTGCTTTGCTCATGACGCTCCTGTCTCCACCATCGTTGTGAAACGTCAAAGTTGATGTGTTCAACAGTCCAATGTTTCAGTCAACCCGTCTCTGCGCCAACCTTCATTTGATAGCTCACAACATTTTCAGCTTGTTTCAGTGGTCATAATTGCCTGCGCTCGCTCGCCCCTCACACAGCACAAGTACCTTTCCTTCTTCCTCTTGCATACCTCCCTTCCCTCCATTGCCCGCTTCCACTCCCTTATCTCCTTCCTCTACCTTCCTCATTCAACTCCCTTGCCTTATTCTGTTTCCTTTTCCCTTTCTGCTCACTTTCCCCGTTTTTTCTCCCTCGCATCTTTCCTCTCCCTTGCCTCCTTCCCCTCCTTTCCTTCATTCCTCTTCCCCTCCTTGCAGTTATCTCAACAACAACTGGTTTGCGGGCTCCATTCCAACTGCCCTCGTCTCCCTGCCCACCCTCACCTACCTGTGAGTAACTCCACCCTTCCCACCCACACAATGCATTCGGCGCCCATTCCTCATGTTGTATGACCTAAAGTGCCACAAGTACTGTACGATGTGCTTTTGCTTTGGAACTAACTGCACTCACACCGTGTGTTCCTGGGGCCATGTGATAGAACACCATTCTCTGGGTCCCAAGTTTTTCCACATAGTACGTCACCACACTACAGCACTGATTTATGAATCTGCAACCTTCTCTATCTTTGTGAGCCGTCCATCCCAGTAAATCAATAGACTTACCTGAACCACCTGAACCCAAACCACCTACCTGCAGGGACCTGCACACAAACGCACTGACCGGGACGGTGCCAGCCCTGCCCACCTCTCTCCTCTCCCTTGACATCCAAGACAACTTCCTTGCGGGAAGCTTCCCCGCAGCTTCGCTGACGAGCTGTGACGCGAGCAGCAACTGCCTGGCGAGTGCGATGGCGTGCAGCGAGGCGAGCGCTGTGGGTCAGAGGGATGGCGACACGTGTTCTTTCTGCGAGTCGCAGGACGGGCAGGGCGTGCTGTGCTTCGGAGGGTCATGCTTGCCAGATGTGGATAACAGCACCGTGCATGATGATGGCATGGACCCTCCTGACATGTACTGTATTGGTGAGTCATGGCATATTCCGGCAGTGCTTCATGGCATGATGTGGCAGTGCGTGCATCAAGGAATCTGGTGTATTGGGTTATCACGGTCATGGCTGAATCCGTCTATCCATCTTGACTACTCAAAGCCTCTGTCTATCCATCTGTACTCTCGTCTTTATACTTGTCGTCTTTCTTCCCTTTCTCCTTGCCACTGCCCACTTCAGAAGCACCGATGGTCACAATCCATCCTACTGATGGTGAGTTAAGGAGTACGAGAGACACATTTGAGCTCAAAGAGATGCAAGCATGCTGACAAGTCTCAAACACATGGGCGAAATTAGTAAAAGAGACACGTTTCTCAAAGTTCATTCTGATATGCCTTTTTTGACTCTTTCCACCACCATCGCTCCAACCTGCCAACTCCCTCCATCCCCATCCCCTCTCCCACAATGTCAGTCACTCATCCTTCTTCTCTTTCCCACCTTTGCCGCCCTTCCCTCCCTCAATCACCCCTCCTCTCCCTTCACGCCCCTCACACCAACTCTCACAGCGCAAGCGCTGCTGGCAGTGAAGGGCGCGCTGGGGGTGACCTTCACAACGTGGGGGGTTGGCAAGTCGTGCACCACGGCTTCTGTAGGGCCGGCCATTGCAGGCACCCTCACTGCCGTGTCCTGTGACCCTTTCGGCAAAGTCCGCACCTTGTGAGTCCTCACCACTGGTTGTGATCATCTTTATCACTACTGCTGCTGCTGTTGCTGCTACTTAGCCCTCCATTGCTGATCATTCCGTTCCACTTCTGCCTCCAATTTTACTCGTCACCTGAGTCAACCAGTTGCCATGCCCCCTCCATTCTGCCTTTCACACCCACTCTGTTCCTTGCAGGCAACTAAAGCGTCTCAACCTTGCAGGCACTCTTCCTCGTGCAATCTCCGATCTCACAGCTCTCACTTACCTGTGAGCGTGCCTTGCTATGAAGTGCCTCAAATTGAACCTTGCACTCCAATCATGTTACCTCGATCCGCATCCTTCTGTCTCGCCTCTCCCTGTTTTACACATCCCCGATTTTCCATGCTTCTGTCTCCCTGTTTTAAACCCTCTCCCTTTTATCATATCACCCCCTTCCATCTTTTCAACACCCCCTCTCCCTGTCTCCACACACCAACCTCCGTTCCCTTTCTCCACACGCCTCACCCCGCGCTCCCAGTGATCTGAGCGGCAATTTATTTCAGGGTCGCCTGGATGAGATCGCCACACACCTTCGCCTTCTCACTGCCCTCCAGTCCATGTCCTCCTGCTCCCACCAGCCACACCCAACAGTGCCTCATCGCCCGTGCTCCCTCTGGTCTGCATCGGTGCTGCAAGTGTGCCCATGGATGCGACTCAAGCCGCTGCGTTGATGAATGTGAAGGTGACGCTGGGAGTGTCTTTTCCAGACTGGCGGGTCGATGCCCTCTGCACGCTCGTGGGCTCGCCCTCCCCGGCTCCCGGCACGTGGAATGGCGTCGCATGTGACGATTCCGGGAAAGTGCTCCGAGTGTGAGTGCCCTGTCTACCTCCGAGTGTGAGTGCCCTGTCTACCTCCGAGTGTGAGTGCCCTGTCTACCTCCGAGTGTGAGTGCCCTGTCTACCTCCGAGTGTGAGTGCCCTGTCTACCTCCGAGTGTGAGTGCCCTGTCTACCTCCGAGTGTGAGTGCCCTGTCTACCTCCGAGTGTGAGTGCCCTGTCTACCTCCGAGTGTGAGTGCCCTGTCTACCTCCGAGTGTGAGTGCCCTGTCTACCTCCGAGTGTGAGTGCCCTGTCTACCTCCGAGTGTGAGTGCCCTGTCTACCTCCGAGTGTGAGTGCCCTGTCTACCTCCGAGTGTGAGTGCCCTGTCTACCTCCGAGTGTGAGTGCCCTGTCTACCTCCGAGTGTGAGTGCCCTGTCTACCTCCGAGTGTGAGTGCCCTGTCTACCTCCGAGTGTGAGTGCCCTGTCTACCTCCGAGTGTGAGTGCCCTGTCTACCTCCGAGTGTGAGTGCCCTGTCTACCTCCGAGTGTGAGTGCCCTGTCTACCTCCGAGTGTGAGTGCCCTGTCTACCTCCGAGTGTGAGTGCCCTGTCTACCTCCGAGTGTGAGTGCCCTGTCTACCTCCGAGTGTGAGTGCCCTGTCTACCTCCGAGTGTGAGTGCCCTGTCTACCTCCGAGTGTGAGTGCCCTGTCTACCTCCGAGTGTATGATCGTACCAAGACTTGCAACAAGCTGCTGCATTGGAAGCTCCATGCATCCTCTCCTGCTGCCTCTTTCCTCCTGCTTGTCTCCCAGCGGTAAAGATTTGAGCCATTAGTTGCTGGGCACATTCTGGAATTGGTACATTACCCACTGTTACCTTTTATTGTTTGACGTTTCTTGGCCTCCTCACTTCATGTGCACCGCACGCAATCACCCCACGCAGGTCTCTAAAGGGGCTAGGTCTTACAGGGAGCATCCACTCCGAAATCTCCAAGCTCACCACACTCACCGTGCTGTGAGTAGCCCTGCACATTCAACGAGTCTCCTCTCCCGCCAAGCATATTCCTGACTCAGGGTCCAGGCAGAGTAAAACACAGGTGCTTGTTATCCGTCATCCAGGATTCACGAAATTTGCTAACTCATCCGGACATTGCCCAACAACGCCAGTTCATTGGCTCATGTGGAGTGAATTCCCCTTCCTGCATCTCCCACCGCTGCACCATTCCCCCTTGCACCTCTCCCCCCTGCTGGCACGGCAGTGACCTGCAGTCCAACCGGCTGGAAGGCAAGATGGACGCCTTCACTGCCAACATCAAGACGCCTCTTGTGCTCAAGGAGCTGTCAGTGCCTGCCTGGCCCCACCCACCCAATCCACCCATCCTTCCGTCCTCCAATCCACCCAATCCACTCAGCTGCGCATTCGTGCATTATCCTACCTGGGCATGTGGAATTGGCAGACCAGAACATGTTGTTACTGTTGTTTGTTTGTGTGTGTGGGTGCGCACGCGCACGCGTGTGTGTGTGCGTGTGTGCATGTGCGCGTGTGTGCGTGTGTGCGTGTGTGTGTGCGTGTGTGCGTGTGTGTGTGTGTGTGTTCTATTTTTTTGTTTTCTATTATTATTTCTTCCCTTCGGTATTCTTCGGTCGATTTAAAACCAGCTCACTGCTTGTGGTGGGTTCCCTCCTTCGTCCTCCTACATCAATCACCCCTATCTCCCATGCACCCATGCAGCTACCTGCAGTACAACTACCTCTATGGCGCCTTCCCTTCGGCCCTCCTCGCCCTCACAACCCTCTCAACACTGTGAGTGACCATAGGATGATTATCATGTGATCATGCTGATTTGCTGAAGCAGGGCCTTTGACTTACATCACCCGCGATAGTAATGTTAGAAAGAAGAACATTTTGAGCAAGCAGAATCTGCAAAATAGCCTCCTCTCAACGTTGCTTCGCAGCCTTGCATCACCTCAACAGCTGCCTTTTTTCATTGTTTCTCATTCATTCTCTTCTCCCACCCTCCCCCACCACGCCATCAGCTCCGTGGCCTTCAACTACCTCATCGGATCGCTCCCCACCACACTCCCCACCACCCTCGCCTCTCTGGACGTGCAAAGGAACTTCCTGGCGGGTTCCGTGGCGGCCAACAGCATTGCCTACTGCGCCAGCACGGGCAACTGCCTGGTGGACGCGTCCAAGTGTGCATCACTGGGACTGCCACAGCGCAGCGCTGCTGAATGTGCCGTCTGTGGCTCCACCAACGGCCAGGGCGCTCTATGTGCTGCTGCCACCACCTGCCGGGTTGCTGCTGCTGGGGCTGGGGTGACCACCCCCCCCACTGCGCTTTCCGCTAGTCTCCCTCTCTTCTGCGAGGCTATTCCCATGGACTTGGCAACAAGTGATGGTGTTCTTTTGCTTCTTCTGTGCAGCTTTGTTATCTCCCTATTCCGTATGGTTTTTTGGATTGAAAGACTGACGGATACAGAAACAGGTGAATGCCCAGGCAAGAAATCCTAGCTACGTTGTGCCGGAAAGTTATAGAGGTAAGAGCTGGGGGGTAGTTTTGAAAGATCGTGCCAAGTAAGGAGACCTGAGTGGCTTGGTTTCAGGATGTGATAGAGGCTTCGTGGTGCCGGCTACAGCTGGCTCCATTACCACACCAACCCCACACCCCCGCTCCCCTCGACTCATCCCTCCCTCTACCCTCCTTCACCCTTGTACCCACCTTCACCCACCTCCCTGCGCTGCCCCTTGCCAGCCCAAACCATGCTGGCCATCAAGGCCGCACTGGGGGTGACGCTGACAGACTGGACTGCCACCCTGCCGTTGCTCAAGCCCTCCAGCCCCACCTCACCCAAGTCGCTCCCTCGCAGCAGCAGTGTGCCGCTGGCAGCGACTCAGGGCACGTGCACGTTGGAGGGGCAGATTCCCGGCCCAGGCGCATGGACCGGCGTCTATTGCAGATCCAAGGGCGTTGCTGTGGGCATGTGAGTGCTGCATATGCTGCTGTGCTTTGTCGTGCTGTTATGGGTGTAGTGTTGCTCTTCCACTGGAGCAAGATTGTGTTGTGTTGATATAACGAGGATGGGTCGAGCGACACTTGCCCTTCCTCCCTCATTTGCTCCATTCTCTCCCACTCTTCTGCTTTACTGTGCAGTGTGCTACCAAATCAGAAGCTCAGTGGAAGCCTGTCAATGGAAATCACCAAGCTCACATCCCTCACCATGCTGTACGCCCTCCCAGTTCTTTTCCATTGCACACCCTGGGTTCATATTATCTGCTCTATCCTGCTACTTGTGAGCCAAACCCAGCTTACTGGCCCGTCTACTCTCTTTTGGATTCAGCCTTGCTTCTTAAAATACCTTTACACCTGTGTGCGTGTGCGTGCATGTGTATCTGCTTGCTTGTGTATGTAATGGTCTGTGCATGCGTGTGCATGCGTGTGCATGCATGTGCATGCGTGTGCATGCGTGTGCATGCATGTGTTCAGCGACCTGAGCTCCAATCTCTTCCAGCGCCGCCTGGATGTTTTTCTCTCGCTCGTCTCTGCCCTGAAGGCACTTCAGAATCTGTACGTTATTCCGCTGTTCACTGTGTGGAATGCTCGATTTTTGTGTGTTTAAAGTGAATTATCCACATTGTATACGGTGCTGTGCACCTTGACACTACATGCTTCTCTTGCTAATCTTCACTCACTCCGATCCTCCTTACTCCAATCCCCCTCATGCCCCATCCTCTCCTCTCCATTCTTCCATGCTCCTCACATCACATTACTTCCCGCCCACAGTCACCTGCAGAACAACTGGTTCTCTGGCTCCATCCCCTCCTCTCTCGTCGCCCTGCCTGCTCTCTCTACCCTGTAAGTGACCCCCGTTCCACCCTCGTGCATGCTCCACCCTTTTGCATCCTCTAAAGAGCCTCAAACACCACCCTCTGCCAGCACCTTGTACTTTCCCACTCATCTCTTTGTTTGAACCACTCTCGCTCGCACCAACCTCACATTCCACACTCGTTCTTGACAGTCGAGCATGACAGTTACTCTTGGTCCTCTGTGTGACGTGCTCTTTTTCGTCCCCACTGGCCCTCCTTCTCCACCCTCCACCACCCTGCCCTTCAACCACCTGCTAACCTCAGCACTCTCATCAGTCCCGCCGGCATGCTCCCGTTGCTAATCCTTCTTTCTCCCGTCCGCCTCCCCCCCCTCTCCCTGCCTCCTCCACCGCCACGCACAGCAAGCGGAGCCGCAACTATCTGACGGGCACGGTGCCGGCGTTCAAGACTACCCTCAAGGCCCTCAACGTGGCCAGCAACCTGCTCTCGGGCGCCTTCCCTGCCATCTCCCTCACCGCCTGCGATGCCCGCTCCAACTGCCTCTCCAGCGCCACCAATTGCGCCAACGCTGCCGGCACGGCGCAACGGTTATCCTCAGAGTGCAGTGTGTGTGGGTCCACCGATGCTTCTGGCGTTCTGTGTGGGGGAGGGCTGTGCGCCCCTGATGCCTCCGCCCCTGCTGCCTCCTCCACCCCCAACACGGACGGCCAGCCGCTGCTGCCACTGAGCTGCCTGGGAGTGCCCATGGATGCGGCCATGGGGTTGGCGCTGCTGAGTGTGAAGGCATCGCTGGGTGTCACGTTCACGGATTGGAATGTGGATGCGCCGTATGCACTGGCAGGGCAGGGCGTGGTGCCGGGCTCGTGGTCCAGCGTTGTGTGTGACGCCACCGGCAAGGTTCTCAGCCTATGAGTGCAGGGGGGCTGCTTGGTGTATCCTTTTTCTCGTTGTGATGGGGTCTCGTCGTTGTTCTGTTGGAGGATTTTGCTGAAGCATCTTCTGAACCATCATGTATCCATCATGCTGCGATGCTACTATGCTACGTTCTCCCTTGTTGGTGACCTTGTGCTACGTACCTAACCAGTGAGAAAGTGGGTGCATGATGGAAAAGAGGAGGATTGCCCAAGTTCCTGGGTGATCTCACTCTCACATATTATTTTACTCCATCTCAATCTACCATATCATATCAAATCACATGGCACCAAATCAACCACACTCCCATTCTCGTCTCATCCCTGGCCTGCACTCCTCCCTTCCCATCTACCCTCCCGGCTGCGGCTCTGCTGAGTGTGAAGGCATCGCTGGGAGTGTCCTTCACGGACTGGGCGGTGAGCTCGCCGTGTGCCATGGAGGGAGTGGCAGCACCGCCAGGCGCGTGGTCCAACGTCCTCTGTGACTCCACCTTCAAACCTGTCTCCCTGTGAGTTGGCTGGTCCTCACTGCATCTGGCGTCCTCGCTGTCAAGATTCATGCAGTTGTTGACCGTTGGAGGTTTCTGGCCGTCCTCAATGTCAAACCTTTTGAGTTCTCAGCATGCTCGCTGTCAAGATTCTTGAAGCACAGGCTCCCAGCGTGCTGGACCTGTCTCCAACCTGGCGGCACCCCATATAGCCATGCTGCTGCCTCTAAGGCTTGAGTGTGAATGTTTTGAAGGTCACCCGAGGGTTTGAAACGTTGGAATGTTGAACCTTGTGAGTTCTTGTCAGCACCATTTCACCCCGTTTTCGAACATCACTACTGTTTGTGTTTGATTTTGCTGTTTCTTGCTGTCGTTGGATGAGCAGCAAGCTGTCTGGCCTGAAGCTCACAGGGAGGAGGATGCACTCAGATATCTCCAAGCTCACCACCCTCACCTCTATGTATGTATAATTTTCAAGCACCCCAAAGGTATCTCCTTCCAACCTTACAGTCCTCACCACCCTAAAAATAACCACACTCGAGCCTCCCACTCTTCATCTGTAATTTTGCGTCATTTATAACGCCTCTGCTGTGTTGCTTACTTTCCTCATTTCCCTCTCCCTTATATGTCCCTACCATGTTGTCTTTCTATTCTGTTATTGTTACACTTCCATCTCTGCGTTCTACTCCCCTTACGCCCTCCTGTTGAATCCACGGTTACCACGTATACTCCCTCTTTACCCTTTACAGTGATCTCCGAAGCAACCTATTACAGGGGCGTCTGGACGTGTTCACATCCTATTTCAGCGCGCTCAAATCCCTCAAGAAAGCGTGAGTGGCGTGGCCTGGCATCCCTTTGCAGAGTAGTGCACACGAGTAGGGACACGAGCAGACACATGGAGGCATGAGTGCGTGGGAGGCATGGGTTCATGGCAGGCATGGGTGCGTGGGAGGCATGGGTTCGTGGGAGGCATGGGTGCGTGGGAGGCATGGGTGCGTGGGAGGCACGGGTGCATGGGAGGCATGGGTGCGTGGGAGACATGGGTGCGTGGGAGGCATGGGTGCGTGGGAGGCATGGGTGCGTGGGAGGCATGGGTGCGTGGGAGGCATGGGTGCGTGGGAGGCATGGGTGCGTGGGAGGCATGGGCTTCATGCATGGGGTTGCCTGGGCCACAAGTTGGAAGCAGGCACAATCCACTCTTCCCCGGTGTGCATGATCATTTCACTCCTCCCATTCGTGAGAAAGTTGGAACTCCAACAGTTTCTTCCTTCCTTTTCTTCCCTCTTCTTCTCCCATCACGTCAATCCTCCCCAGATTGACTTGCCTATCATTCCATTTTGCCTGCACGTATTGCCCTCCTGCACCTATTGCCCTTCTGCACTTGCCCTCCTGCACGTATTGACCTCCTCCACGTATCGCCCGCCTCCTCCCTCCCAACCCCATCACCTCACCCATGGCAGCAACTTCAACTTCAACTGGTTCTCTGCGTCCATCCCCTCTGCTCTTGTGGGCATCGCCTCCCTCACATCATTGTGAGACCTTCTCGCCTTCTGCTTCTTGGGAATTCGCCCCCTCTTCTTTGCCCCATGCCTTTGCTCCTACTGCCCCATTGCCTTTGCTCCTGTGTAACTGCGTCCACTGCTTTTACCTCACTCCCGCTGCCCTACCTTTTCACTTTTACACTCAATCACTCTCAGGAGCTCTCACACACACCTCACTCGCTCACTCTTTTCTTTTATCATCACCCCTATCAATCTCCCCTCCTCTTCAGCGGAGCGAGCTACAACTACCTGTACGGCCCCGTGCCCAAGCTCGGCACGGCTCTCAAGACCATCGACGTGCAGAAGAACTGGCTGTCCGGCACATTCCCCGGCACTGGCTTCCTCTCCTGCTCTGCCTCCTCCAATTGCTTCGCCAACATAGGCGCATGCAACACCACAGGCACCACACAGCGCCCATTGGCTTCTTGCTCCGTCTGTGACTCTCTTAAGGGCACCGATCCCATCTGTGCCGGCGGCACCTGTGCTCCCAACACTGCCGGCCCTCTTGCCACCTTCACCACCCCCACCACCTCGTCTCCCATTCTGCTGCGCTTCTGCGTCGGTGTGCCTTTGAACGCAGCGCAGGCCGCCATTCTCCTCTCCGTCAAGACAGCTCTCGGGGTCACCTTCACCGAGTGGTCTGCCAGTACCATTTCAGCCAAGGCCAGGACCCTTACCAGCGAGATCAGCAACGGGCCAAAGGCGCTGAAGCGACGGCACTTGGCAGAGAGTGAAGCGGGCAGGGAGAGGGTGCTGCTGGTGGCTCCCCCTTCAGTGCAGGCGGGCCTGTGCACGATTCAAGGCCAGACGCCCGTCCCTGGTTCCTGGCCGGGCGTGTTCTGCTCTTCTGCTGGCATTGTCGTGGGCCTGTGAGTGCTGCAATTCCACCCTTCATAATTTCTGCTGGTACACCGTTTTGTACCACCGTTTTTTTACTAGTGTGTGCCGCGCGTTGCGTATCGCTGTCATCATGCCTGACTTCCATCACTCTGTCTTCCCCTTCTGTTCCCTCTGTCTCTGCTGCTCCCTCTGCCCCTGCTGCTTCCACTCCTTCTGCTGTCCCTGCTGCACGCCCCCCTCTGCGTGGAGGGCAGGGATCTTCGTAATTTCCTGCTGCGAGGCACCGTGCACGCCGACATCTCCAAGCTCACCACACTGACTGCGCTGTAAGGCCTTTGGGATATCGGGATTGGAGTCTGACTCAGGATATGAGGGTGAAGTTATCAAGCAGGATTAGTGCAGTGTGGCGCAAGTGACAGGATTGGAGTGCCCTCAGGCAGGGATGCTCGTGGTTAAGACGGGATAGGACAGGAATCCAGTGCTCTGTGTGTCGTGAGGTAACACCCACAGAATCACAGCTTAACTGTTTCACTGTCACAGCTGCACAGCATTCCCTCATGGTTCCCATCCCAATAATCACACCGCAATCTGCACTACCCAGCCCCTATCCCACTCTCCTTCCATGGTTCCTCCACCCTGCTGTCATAATGCTCGTTTTTACCGTGTGTTCCCCTCGTTGTGTCCCCCACGTGTGTGTTCCCCCCCATCCACAGCTACCTGTCATCCAACCTCTTCTTCCAGCGTCTCGATTCCTTTGTGGCTCCTATCCTGCCCACGGCCTCTCTCAAGGACATGTGAGTGCCTTCCCCTGCCCACGACTTTCTCATGGGCCTGTTCGTGCTCAAACTACTCTGACACTATAACCACGCATGCGATGCTATAACCACGCATGCGATACTATAACCACGCATGCGATACTATAACCACGCATGCGATACTATAAAAACGCATGTGATCCAATGACCACGCATGTGATCCAATGACCACGCATGCGATACTGTAACTGCTCTCAGACGTCTCAACACATTATTCTGTGTGGCTCCTGTCACGACTGAAGCCGAATCCTCCTTGAGGGTTCTGTGAGTGCTACCAATTCCATGCACCCCAGCCTTTAGTCGTTCGTTAGGTGGTAAGTGCTGCTGTTTATGCAACCCCTCCCACGCATGTACAGGGCCAAGGACCTTGATAGAACCACAGACATGTATAAAATCACAGGGCTGTAATAGGATCAATCACAGACCTGTACAGGGCCAAGGATGTAGCTTCCGTGCTCCAGGCACAGCAAAGTTGTTGCATCTCATCCAGCCGACCCGTTCTTTTGTCGTCCCAAGTGTTGATGCATTCAGAACGTTCTCATCAACTTCTCAGCACCTCCTCCACACCTCCTCTGCTATGACATACTCTCGGTTGCACGTGTCTTTGGTCTTGCTCATCTACTCGTGCGTAGCTTTTAAGCCTTCATCATTCATCCTTTTTACTCCTGTCCTTCGATGTGGATTTATGGTTGGCTCTTGTGTGCATGTGCATGTGTGCATGTGTATGTGTGCATGTGTATGTGTACGCATCTGTTCATGCATGCGTCTCTGCATGTGTGCATGCCTTTACTTGTCCCACCAGGGCGGTGAGCTTCAACTGGCTCTACGGCTCTGTGCCATCCAAGCTCGTGACCATGGCCGCCCTCTCCAATCTGTAACTTCCTGCACTTAAACCCTTTTTACATTCTGAAAAAAAAAAAACCACATGACCACACACTCCTTCCTGTAGCAAATATCATAACCCTTGTTGCTTTATCATTGCCGCCTTGTCCTCTCACCCTCCCCCACTTCGAATTTGTTTTCAGTTCCTTCTTGTTCCGTCATATTCCTCTCCCAAATCTGTTTAGAATCGATATTAATCATCTCCCTTCCATTCTCCCACCTCTCATCCTTGTCTTCCTGCTCTTCACAACCACCAGTCACTTGAGCTACAACTATCTGACAGGCTCGATGCCCAAGCCCGGTGCCACCCTCAAGGTTATCGACATGCAGGCCAACTTCCTCTCGGGCACTTTCCCCACGGCCACACTAGCCTGCAACACTCGCCTCAACTGCTTCTCCAACGCCACAGGCTGCTTCAACCTGGATGGAACGGAGCAGAGGGGAGCAGCAGAGTGCAGCATGTGTGGATCAACACAGAAGAAGCTGGGGCTGTGCGGGGGTGGCACCTGTTTGCCTGTCCTCTCTCCTTCCCTTGCTAAGGTTCCCAACAGTGCTGCTGCCGCCACTCTCACCTTGACATGTGCTGCCGTTCCCCTTGATGCCACCTCTGGTGAGCCTCCCCTTCTTTTCCTTCCTACCACATGGGACCATGTATTTCCAAATCCCTCTCTCTTTCCTTGACATGTGCGGTCACGATTTTTAAAGCCACCTCTCATGACTCCCCTCTCTTTCCAATGCCATACGTAGACCCCTTCTCTCCATGCCACCACACACGATTCCACATATTTCAGTGTGTCACCCTCCCTTGCTGGAAGCCCATAACATCATTACACCACTGCTCACCACTCAGCCTTTCCTCCTCCTCTGTCCTCACGTGCACTCCCACCTGCAGTGGCGGCACTGTTGAAGGTGGGGGCGGCTCTTGGGGTGAGAGACACGGACTGGCGCAACGGCAGCAAGTGCAACATTGAGGGGCAGAGCGCCAACCCCAAGTCGTTTCCGGGCGTGTGGTGCAGCGCCAACGGCACCGTCCTCAACATGTGAGGCTCCCGTGCCCCCCTGCAAACTCGTACTTGACTGGACCTGCATTGTGTATGCATGCCCCTGCTCTCCCCATGCCTCCATTTAACCCCATGCCTCCTGCTACCCCCCTGCATCCTGCAAACGTCATGGCAGCACGTTGCCCAACAAGGCACTGAGGGGCATCATCCATGCCGACATCTCCAAGCTCACTGCCCTCTCCTACCTGTACGTCCCAACCCTAAAACTCACAAAACCCCATGCATCCTGGAGTGCTAACAAGCACGTTATCCCGTTCACATAAATGTTACGGTCGTCTTGGAGTCTGCACACCTGGGTGGGTCCACTGCTGGGCCTTTTTCATTCAACCCTTGTTCTGTTCTTAACTTCACATTCGGCATCTCGTCCCTCCTCTCGCTCATTCCATTTGCCCCCCTCTCCCACCTGCACTCGCAGCGATCTTTCATACAATCTCTTCTCTGGTCAGCTCTCCAAGTTCGTCTCTAACATGCCGCCGCTTACCACCATGGCCACCCTGTGAGTTGACTTTGAGAAGCCTCAGAAGTCCCATCACTCCCACTCTGTGAGTTCACTTCTATGCAGCGAACTGGCCCATCACAGTCTGGCTCATTGTTTTCCTTGCCATGGGCCTATGGCTACAATGTTCATCCATCACGACTACTTATCGCATCCTTATGTGCTCCTTGTGTGCCTTTCATCCACATGAATGAGCCTTTTCAGGAACCTCAACTCCAACTATCTCTACGACAGCATTCCATCCGCTCTGGTCAACATGCCTAAACTCACGGAACTGTCAGTTCTGCCAAACCCATTCTCATGCCCACGCTAATACGCATGCTTCATGCATATGCCATGTCATGCCCCACGCCAATGCCAGATGACCATGCCCCGCTTCTGATCCAATGCCCATGCAGCCATTCCCTGCGCCCATGCCTATGACCATTCCCGAGCTCATTCCCATCCCAATGCCCACTCCCATGCCCATTCTTGGTCTTGTGCCCGTGCCCAAACCCATGCCCATTGCCCTCATTCCCCTCATTTCCTTCAATGTTCTCCTTCCACCACTTCACTTCGCTCCCCTCCTCCTCCTCCTCCCCACCCCACAGTCGGCTGGGAGCGAACTACCTGACGGGCACACTGCCAGCCATGGCCACGCAGCTGCAGGTGCTGGCCATCGCCAGCAACCTCCTGGCGGGCGCCTTCCCCACGCAGCCCTTCCAGCTGTGCGACATCCGCAGCAACTGCCTCTCCTCGCCGGGCTCCTGCACCAACGATGCCGGTGTGGCTCAGCGCACCTCCGGCTGTGCCTTCTGTGGTTCCGCCACGGGCGCCCCGCCTTTCTGTGCGGGCACCACCTGCACTCCCGATGTTGCTGCTCGCCTCGCCGCTGGCACTGTGAACAACCTCACTTCCACCCTCCCAGCAATGTTCTGCGAGGCCGTTGCAGTGGATGAAAACTCTAGTGAGTGGGGATATGTAGACTCAGATAATGATGTACCGTGTAGCGTGTGGGTGTGAGGATCTCGTCTGGTCTTCATGGGTCTGTATCAGAGGTGACGTTTGAGTGGAAGAACTGGCACTCTAATGAGAAGCTGCACTTGTGGGCCAGAGACTGGGCTCACTTCGAGTGCCTGACTTTGTCTCACACCCACATCAGTCATCCATCCAACCTCCCACACCCAGCCCATTGTTCACCCCGCACCCTCGCCCCTTCTGCTCCCGCCAATGCACTTTTGTCTCTCCCTACTGACTCCTCTCTCTTTTCCCGTACTCCCCCTTTCTCTTCCCCGCTACTCTCCCCGCCACTTCCCCCCACCTCCTCCCCCCAGCGCTGGCGCTGCTGGCACTGAGGGCGGGGCTGGGCGTGAGTGCTCTCAGCTGGGCGGTGGACTCGCCCTGCACGCTGGCGGGCAACGCCCCCGCGGTGGACAGCTGGACGGGCGTCGTCTGCGACCTCTCGGGCCAAGTCCTCAGCCTGTGCGTGCGCGGGTGATGGATGTGTGTGGGGGTGTTTTCTGAGTGAGCGCTGTGCGATGGATATGGGCGTGGGCTATGTGTGCGTGCACGTGTTCTGTGCACATGTGCCACGTGCATCTGCGTGTGCTTGCCTGTGCTCCCATGCCATCCTGATGCCAGCATGCTTTTATGTGGCATGCGCGCAGTTCCCTGCCTGTGTCTGACCAGTCAAGTCACCATCACACTTACACTGTCCATCCGCATGAATACATGCTTCGTTCTGCATTCTATGCTCCATGGTCAAAATCCCAGAAGCTGCTTTGGAGCTCCATAGTTTTCCTCATTCTAACACCATATGAGGCACAACCTCATCCCCGTGCCTGCTCCATGCCCGCATGCTGCCCTGCCTGCTGCACCGCTGCTCCTCACACAAATTCCTCCTCGTCCCTTGGTGCGTGCGTGCCTGGCATGGGGTTGCTGACGTCACAACAGGGATCTTTCCAAGATGAATCTTCGTGGCAGCTTGCATGTCGACATCTCCAAGCTCACTGCACTCACCAGCCTGTGAGTGTGGCTACGTTCACTGGCATGTGGGCCAGCATCTATCCACCCTTACCTCGCCCCGCACGTCCATCATGTTCCTCCGGTGTGCTTTCGCCAGCATGCCATTCCTTTCAACCTAACTACTCCTGAACCCTCGCATACCCCTCCGCTTGCCTCTTAGTGCCTCCTTGCCTCCGTGCCTCCTCGGTGCCCCTGTGCTCGCAGCAACGTGGCGTCCAACCTCTTGGATGCGCGCATGAGCGAGTGGGCTCTGCCTCTCACCGGCCTCAAGGCACTCAAGCAACTGTCAGTCCTACACACTGCTTGCACAGCCTGCCACCGCCACACCGCATGGCCAGCTGCCTTCCACGGCATTCTGCACGCCAGGCTCTCTTTGCTGCACGCTTGTGCGCCAGACCAGACCAGGGCAGGGCAGGTCGAACCTGATAAAGCCCGGCCTCACAGGGCAAGGCTTTAAGTCCCATTGTGCGGGTGCCTAAATTGTTCAAATCCTCGTTTAACATTGTTTGTGTTTCAACTGTGCCAACTTTCTCCTGTGCCTGTATTGTCTCTTTTCTTGCGTGTCCCTTTCCTGTTGTGTGACTTTCTGTGTCACGATTCTCTTGTGTGACTTTCTCTGTCACCACCCTCCAGGTCTCTCAACTATAATTGGTTCTCTGGCCCTTTGCCTTCATTCCTCCTCACCATGTCCTCCCTCTCAGCGCTGTAAGCACCCCAACTTGTGCAACCCAGTCATCATACATACACATGCACTCCCCCTTCACTGTACATAGCGACCCTACATTCATGATCATGGATCATGGCACCCTGCCCTTACTCTATTGCGAACCTCTTTCTCCTATCTTGCCTAAGTCAATCCCCTTTTCCCTCTTTATCTGCCACACACTCCCCTATCCCCTTCACCAGCAACGTGCAATTCAACTACCTCGCTGGTCCCATCACCGGCACTCCCTCTGCCTCCCTCAAGTCCCTCAACGTTGCCTCCAACCACCTAACAGGAACCTTCCCAGCATCTTCCACCACCGCATGTGATGCACGCAGCAACTGCCTAGCAGACTCCTCCAAGTGCCTTGCCTCAGGCTTCTCCTCCCAGAGGCTTGCCTCTGACTGCGACCTCTGCGGTGCTGGAAGTTCCAGTGCGGTGATATGCAATGGAGGGGTGTGCATGCCGGACACTACCGAACCGATGGCTGCCCTCACACCTAACGATGCCTCGGCTACATTGCTGCCCATGCAGTGCTCGGGTGCTCGCATTGACGCGACAGCAGGTGCGCCTCCTGCCCATTTTCCAATTTCCAGTTGTCAGGGTCAAAATCCGAATATCTCAACTCTCCACTATGCTTGTGTGTCCTGGTTGTTTTTCCAATCCATCTCATCCATACGCTGTCACTGCTCCCTCCCCTCCATCCTCAACATCTGCCCTATCTCCACCCCCACTCCTCACCCCATCACCCACCCCCCCCCTCCAGTATCGGTGCTTGGGAGTCTCAAGGCGGCGCTGGGAGTGCCTTACCCGGACTGGGGAGGGAACTCGCTGTGCACGGTGGTCATTATTGTTTCAGGAGTCAGCAGCTCCTCCCCTGGCCCGAGGGACTTGGGAGATGTGTTGTGCAGCCCGGCCGGGGCTGTGGTGTCGATTGACCTCAACTCGCGCCAGCTGGCTGGATCCATGCATGCAGATATCTCCAAGCTCACTGCGCTCACTGCCCTGTAAGCCCACTGCTCTGCAAGCCCACTGCTCTGCAAGCCCACTGCTCTGTAAGCCCACTGCTCTGTACGCTCACTCTCCGTGAGCTACTTGCCACCAGCTAGCATCGAATCCCGTCCGCCTCATGGTCCTCCCCACGAGTCCTCTACCTGTTTCCTTGGTCCATTTCACCTGCCGTGTAGCAGTGCCACATCTGTAGCATCAGGAAGCCAACTCTCCCCTTCCACCCCCACGCACGCACTTCTCTTCCTGCATTCAACCGTCCTGCATAACCAGCCCAAACCCGTGTTCCCTCTTTCCTACGCCCGCCTCTGACTTCCTTCTAGGATCTTCCACACAAACTTCTTGGCCGGTCGCCTGGACGCCTTCACAGCGCCCTTCACCGCCCTCCCCAACTTGGAGAGCCTGTACGTCTATCTCTTAAACGCTCTTATCCTTTCTATTCATGCTCCTCTCAACTGATCAAGGCATCAACCACAATCCTGGTCCCCTCGGTCTCTTCCTTCTCTTGCGCACACATTTTGTGTGTGCTCCTCACTCTCCTTCCGTGCATATGTTATGTGAGGCACCTCACACATCTCACCAGCCTTCACTCTTCCCAACCGTATGGGCCTACGATACCGTTGAGAATTTCAAATGCGATACCTGGGCCAACCCCCTCACCTTTTCTATCGTTCCTTTCCCATTACCCTCTCCCCCTCGACACCTTCCCATCCACCTGCCCATCTACCCCTTCCCCCCACCCTCGTCCCTGTGTGCCGTGCAGCCAACTGCACTACAACTACCTATTTGGGTCCATACCCTCTTCTCTTATCGGTCTCAAGAGCCTCTCCAAGCTGTGAGATTACCACCTTCTTTTTACCGTCCGCCATGCCATAGCATGCCGTGCCCAGTCGTTGCATATCATGCTATGCCTACACGTGCCACTTCACCAAATTCCGCCACGCCTCTTCCTCTGTGTATCCTTCTGCCTTGCACTTCACTCAACCTACCCTCTTCCCCCACCCATCCAGCTTACCTCCTTCCGCCAACTCACCCCTTCCTCCTCTCTCTCTCGCGCGTCAACCACCCTGCTCAAGTCTGAACTACACTTTTCTTGCTGAATGCCTGCTGCTTAATGTTACGTCTGTGATGAACCTACCTACCTACACGAGATGTCTGCTACTTCATTGATCTACTAGACTCAAGCCCCTTCACTCCCCACCACACTTGCCCCATCCCACAGGAGTGTGGGCTCCAACTATCTCACTGGGAGCGTGCCAGTGCCAGGCACTGCCATGAAGCACCTGGACCTCGAAAACAACTACCTCGTCGGAACCTTCCCAGCAGGCTCCTTGCTGTCCTGCTCGGCACGCACCAACTGTTTCTCGAGTGCGGCTGCTTGCACAGCGGACGGAGGCAAAGGGACTGTTCAGAGAGCCACGTGCAGTATCTGCGGCAGTGCCGATGGCACGGGGGTGTTGTGTGGCGGCGGTGGTGCGTCCACCTGCCAGCCCACAGCTGAATCCCTTGCATCCCTCTCCTTGATCAACAGCCCCAATACCCCTGCGCTCCCTCTAGAGTGCTCCTTGCTGCCGGCTGTACCCGTCAACTCTACTGCCAGTAAGACATCCCTTGCCACGGGCATGGGTAGCATGGGGATGGGGCTACGTCCCAGTCTGCACTTTTCAATCTGCATGGGCACGAGTTGCATGGAGATCATCACCTTAGTGGTCTGCCTGACTGCATTTCCCTTTCTCATTCCGTCATGCTCAGCTCACTGCTTCCTCCCACCTTAACCTCCCTCTCCTCCTCTCCTCTCCCATTCAAAACTCCTGGTTCAATCCTCACTCTCCTCATCACCCCCTCTCTCCTGCACCCACAGTGGCAGCGCTGCTGAGCATCAAGACAGCCTTGGGAGTGACGCACACAGGGTGGGCGGCAAACGCTGTCTGCACGCTGGCAGGGACAGCTGGCACTGTAGCGAGTGGGAGCTTGACGGGTGTGGAGTGTGACTCAGCTGGCAACCCCGTCAAGATGTGAGCCCTTGATTGCTTTCATCTTAGACAGAACCCTCATTGTGCAGGAGAGCTTGTTTTGTGGTAAAGAGTGGTTGTGAGCAGTAAGCAGATAGAAGGATAGAGTGGTTGTGAGCAGTAAGGAGATAGAAAGAGAATTTGTGGGCACTTGATTGCTTTCATCTTATGTAGAACCCTCATTGTGAAGGAGAGCTTGTTCCAAAGATGGGAATAGCAGTTGGTAGCATAACTAGTGTTGTGCGGCTTTTGAGGATTCTCTCAACCTGGCAACCCTGTGAAGAAAGTAAGATGTAAACTATAAAGTGAGATGTAGACAAGTTGATTGTAAAGCCGACAAAGGGTATTCGTCCATCTCTTCGTCCCTTGGCATCACCTTCCCCTACCGTTCATTCTTTTTGTTTCTGCGTCCCCTCTGTTTCGGTCGTCTAACTTTAAATCCTTATCTGCTCCATTCTACTTTGCCTATTTCAACATCCCCCCCTAAGTCGTTTCCTCTTGTGCTGTTTCCAACTCCCCTCACCTCCCAACCGATCCTCTCCCATGTTTCCTTCATTACTTCCCCTTCTTTTGCCTGCCCACCTGTGCCAGAACTCTCAACAACCAGCAGCTGTTCGGAATGCTCCCTGCTGATGTCACCAAACTCACAGCGCTTACTCACCTGTGAGTGCACACCTGCACACAGACTACTTTCCGTGCATGCAAGCACATGTAAGAACCAACATTCATGTTTGCGTTCACGTGCATACCGTTGTCATTGACACAAAAGAAGCAACCAGCTTGTATGCTTGCAGTGTTTTGTAATAGTAGCTCGCATCACGACCGCACATCAATGGACCCTCCCTCCTGTGCATCTAATCTGAAATCCCAACCTCTTGAATCCAATCATTCCCCTTCCTGTATTCAACTCGTACAAATCTGCATCAAAATTGCAATTCCAATTCCATCCTCTCTCCCTGTATGCAATCCTCCCTCCCTCCATTTTCTTGCCCCGCTATTACCACCGGGGTTGCAGCAACCTGCAGTCCAATCTGTTCAGGGCACGCCTTGAAGATTTTGCACTGAGGATCCCTGCGCTTACCAACCTGGCGGTGCTGTGAGTCCCTCACCAACCTGGCAGTACAAGAGAATTCTCAGACTCGTTCTCTTGCTGCTCACGCACTACTGCCCTTCCACCACCACGATAGGCCGAGAACTCCCTTGACACCCTCGTAATCTGAGTGTTGCTGCTGTTCAAGCAAGCCTAGGATGCTGCGTCCTTGCAATGCAACGGTGTTGCTGCCCTTCTACCTTGAACCACGGCGCACTGCCAGCCTCGCAGTCTTTTCCCCATTCACTAGATTTCCTCTGTGTGTCGCCTATGGGTTTCCTCTTTAATGTCTCTCCTAAATGTCTTTATTTCGTTACTATGTGCCCCTCTTACGCATATTCCCTGTGTGCCCCTCTGAGCCCCTCTGCACCCACTTCACCCTACTCTGCACCCCTCTGCGTTCCTTTGTGTGCATCCCCACCAGCCTGCTGGACTTCAACTGGTTCAAAGGCTCGCTGCCCCCACCTCTCCTCGCCATGACCAAACTCACCCAACTGTCAGTTCCGTGCCCCATGCCAAGTGTCGCATGCCCCTCCTTTGCCCCTGCTAAATTATGTCCCACGCTCTTACTTTGCTGCCAAACGACTTTCCACACCAGCTCAGCCTGCTCCTTCACATCCATACCATCATTGGTTCATGCCTTCATTCTAACCCGCTCATCTCACCACAACCTCTCACAACTCTACTCTCCCAACCACACCACCCGCACTCCCCCCCTCCCCCACATCTGAACTTTATGCAATCCAGGAGCATGGCGTACAACTACCTGACATACCGCGTGCCACCGGTGTCAGCATCGCTCAAGGCAATCGTCCTCTCCAACAACTTCCTCTCGGGCACCTTCCCTGCTAACTCCGCCACCTCCTGCGTCTCTGCTGCCAACTGCTTCACCAGCGCCACCTCCTGCAACACTCCTACCGAGGGGGGCGTCACGGAGCAGCGAGCGTCGGGGTGTGATATCTGCGGCAGTGCGAGTGGTCAGGGCATGCTGTGCGGTGGTACAGGGGTGTGCACGCCCAATGCTGCTGCACTGTTCACTGCCAAGACAGTGAATACTGCTGCTGCTGCTGTTCTCCCCATGTCTTGTGTTGGTGAGTGGTGCTCATGCGTGCAACAAATCTGCTGGCCCAACAGAGAATGACTCATTCTTGCTTCTTTTCCTATGTTTGTTTGCCAGAATATGCTGCTTCTACGTGCCTGACTGCCCCTCTCCCTTCGCCCCATCTCTGCACGTCTTCTCTCTTGTTCCTTCTCCCTTTCGTCTGAGTCGCAGACCTTGTGTGTGCTGCAGCTGCACCTATTGCCTGCCCGACTGACTGGCGCTGCCAGGGTCTGAAGTGTGCTGCACCTGCCGTCTCCAACTGCAACGGCTACCTCTGCACTCCGTAGAAAGGTTGCTGCACATTAAAGCCTGTGAAACAGTTACCAAGCCATTTTCAAGAACTAGATTAGCCCTAAAGGGAATGTACCCCTTCAGAGTACATGAATAGCTAGGACATTTTGCATTCTGGTGACCTGTGCCTAGAGTTTGTTTTTCGAAACAGTTACCAAGCCGTTCGTTACCGTGAACTAGATTAGCCCTAAAGGGAATGTACCCCTTAAGAGTACATGGCTAGCTAGGGTCTTTTTCTTTTTTAACATTGTTTTTGTGTAAACCGTGTCTAGAGTTTGATTTCTGTGGAGACCGGTCACATAGAGTGGCAATGTTCGCCTTGTTAAGAATTCCATGTTCCGACTCAGTCAGGATGTCTTGAACTTGAAGTGTTCATTTTTTTTTTCATCAGCATAATATAGGGTTGACGGCCTTGGGGTCCGGAGAAGAGCCCAAAAGGTGCAAATTTTTTGTCCAGTGTGGATAACTTAACTTCAGACCACATTGAAACCACGTGCCATGCGATAGTGGAGGCACGGGTCGACAATTTTGAACGAATAGACGAACCCAATCAGTTGCATGTCACCAAACATCGTCAAGGTCGTTTTGAATGTTTTGTCTCGCATGAAGTCCACTCTGGCACTCACACGAAGTCGACAAATACGGTATCTTCTCCTACGTGGCATCCCTAAATACGTGTTTTGTGCACTGTTGTTGGGGGAACTCCGGTTGGGACCCCAAAGCTGTGAACGCCATCTAAAGCCTGCCTTGAGACTCGTAGCAAGGTCGGCGACCTGCCAGCACTACAACTCCGCACCGTTTCCAACGCTGCAGAGAGGCGATTTACCAACGTAGCAAGTCGACGGCCTGCTAGCGCTACACCACGGCGGCGGCCAACGTAGCAAGTCGGCTTGCCAGCGTTGCAGCCGCGGGTGACAGCAGCGTACACGCGCGCACCTACTTCGCAAGTGCTTGCAGACAGTTGGAGCGACGTGCACCGTCACGTACACGGCGCCGCTGCCAAGTTGGCCACGTGCCATTTACTGCGCTTAATGAACCACGTCGACCTCGGAATACCATTCCGAGGACAGCTTCGCCAGAATCTCCTAGGCGACGGTCGTGCACCCTGTTGAACCTCGGCGCCCTGGTAACCTAGTCGACGAAGAAACCAGCAAGTTGGCGTCGACTTGCACAGCTGATTCCCGCCAACCTTTGTACGTGCCCGTCGAAAGGTCGACGGCCACTCGCTGACTTCACCAAGTCGGCCACTCCGCAGGTCGACGAACGCCTTCGTCGACCACCATGCTGTCCGTCGACTTTGCCAAGTCGGCTCCCACAATCGGTGCCCTCAAGTCAGCGCCCCTCCCAAGTCGACAAATCCCTTCGTCGACCATGATTGAAGTCGACCGCCGGCTTCCCGTCAGCGGCAGCTTCGCAGTGGCCCCGTGCAGGTCGACCAAGTCTGTCGACCTGCTCGCCTAAGTCGGCTTCGCCCACTGCAGTCGGTCGGCTGCACTTCCGCACATCCGACCATGATGTCGGCTCCGCCCAAGCGAGGACGGGGCCAACTCTCGTTGACACTCCCCTAGTACGTTCACGCTTGGGCTCCAAACCCGCACGGCAGAACTTCACAGACAAAACTCGTCGCCGTTGGCATGCACACAATGCACAGCTCGCGGTCACCGCACCAGCCATGCAGAAGGGCACGGCACCTACTCCTGCACGTCGTCGTCACCGTCGCCGACGTCGGCCAGTCGCACTTGGCCAATTGCAATGGAGCACCGGTTGAAGGCCGGAAAGTGCAGCGCCTTCGTCAGGAAGTCAACCGGCTGCGCTGTGGTTGGGATGTATTTCACCACAAACTTTCCGCGCTTCACCACGTGCTGCAGCCAGGCATATCGCGGCTCCATGTGCTTGAGGTTGCCTTTCAGCCCCAAGCCTTCGGTGACTGTGATTGCCGACTTGTTGTCCACTGAAGGACGGTCAACGGCCCAGTGTCCAGCAGCTGGAACTCGACGAGGAGGAAGCGTAGTCGGCGTGCCTCCTTGCCGGCCTCGGTGGCCGCGACGTACTCCGACTCGGTCGACAAGAGTGTCGCGTACTTGATGTGCTAGGTCGACCAAGAGACGGCAGCCCCTCCAAAGATGAACACGTAGCTGCCTGTGCTCGTCCGGTTCTTCTTGTCGCTGGCGTCGTCGGCGTCTACGTAGGCGATCGGACTCAACGAGTCTGGTCCACCGCCGAACTCCACGGCGGTGTCACGAGTGTCGGCGAGGTAGGCAAGGCAGCGGTCGACCAGTGCTGGTTGCTCCTCACCGTGAAGTTGCTCCCCAGCTTGCTGCAGGCAAAGGCGATGTCCGGCCTCGTCGTCGTCGCCGCGAACTGCAGCGAGCCGATCTTCCGCCGGTACTCCTCCTCCTCGCGCTCTTAAGCCTCCTTGTTGTTGAACGTCAGCTCGGCGTAGGAGTCGACGAAGACCGGCGTCTTCGGGATGTGCCCGGTCTGCTCCTTGTCGATGAAGCGCCTGCGCAGCGTTTTGACATAGCTCTGCTGGTGCAGCCACAGCTTCCTTGCCGGGCGTGTCGCGCACAATTTCTACCCCGAGTTACTTCACAACCGGCGAGATCTCGCGGAGCTCGAAGGCGGCCTTCAGTAAATCTTTTAGCTCCTTCAGCATGACGATGCTTCTGCTGGCAGCGAGCGGGTCGTCACAGAGACCAGCACCCAGCATGTCACCCCGTCGTCGCCGACCTTGAAGTAGAGTGCGTCGTCGACCTGAATCTTCTGCCAGTCGGCGCCGGTCAGCACGTCGTCGAGCGCCCTTGACTACAGACTGTTCAGTGGCTTGCACACGCGGCCGGTCCCGTCGTTGAAGTAGTCGGCTTGGTACATGTACAGCACCCGGTCGAACTTTCTCTGCAGGGAGGCGTTCTTCGTGTCAAGCTGCATCAGTTTGAGGTCAAGGACGGTGACAATGCTGAGGAAGATCCTCAGCGTGACGTAGCTCACGACCGGCGTGTAGTTTTGTCGTAGTCGGCGCTGTACACCTGCGTGAAGCCCTTCACGACCAGCCTCGCCTTCTCGCGCTCAACCGTGTCGTCGATGTAGTACTTCGTCAATGAGGTGTCTACGATCCTGACAGGATGTGGATGGGAGCACCGTGCACGATTATGACAAGGATCCCCCTGATATGTACTGTGTTGGTCAGTCATGCCACATGGTGGTGGTGAGTTGTGTCGTGTCGTTTTGGGTCATGGCATATTCCACTCCAGTAGTGCTTCATGATATATGGCGGTTCGTGCATCATACTGGGGAATCACTTTAAATTCACGCCTCCGTCCATCCATCTCTACTCCCCCTTCCCTCGCCGTGGTCATTCCTCCCATCTTGATTGCGTTTCTCCCTGGCACTGCCCACTACAGAAGCACCGGTGGTCACAATCTACGCGAGCGATGGTGGGACATTCTCAGACATGCGAGCTTACATGGATGCTATCACGTTGTGCTGTGACAACTTAGTATCTTGTTCGCGTACTTTTCTCATTGTACTTATCGAAGTTCAATGCAGTAACGTTACCTTCACTCCGCCCACCATCCTCACTCCATCCTGCCAGCGCTCTTATCTGCCCATCCTCTCTTTTATGATCTCTGTTACTCAACCTTCCCCTTCCTCCCATCCCTGCCCCTCCCTCTCTCCCCTTAACCCTCCTCGCCCCCCATACCCCGACCCCCAACTCTCACAGCGCAAGTGCCTCTGGCAGTAAAGGGCGCGCTGGGGATGACCTTCATAATGTGGGGGCTTCACAAGCCATGCACCACGGCTTCTGCCGGGCCGGCCATGCAGGCACCCTCACTGCCGTGTCCTATAACCCTTTCTGCAGAGTCCGCACCTTGTGAGTCAGCACCACTGTTTGCACTGCTGTTGTAGCAGCTGTTTGCCACCCCTGCTAATTATTCTGCTGTTTGACCGGTGTACTGTGCGTTGTGTGCACGTCGACGAGTTTTGGGTTCCTCGGTTTTGGGCGGCCCTGGTGTGTGTTGTGGCAAAGCGTGAGAGCGGCACGGTAGTGTTAACGGGAATTGGAAGTTGGCCAAACTTTGTGGTCGACAGTTCGTCAAGCAGCGCGGACCTTTGCGAGGTCGTCGACGATAGGAGTTCGATGACAGTGGCCGACCTAGGTGGTCGATAAATGGGTTCGTCGCCCAGGGTGGGCACTGACCTCTACAAGGTGGTCGACGAAGGTGTTCCTTGACCTGCGGGGGGGCGTTGAATTGGTGAAGTCAACGAGAGGCATCGACCCGCGTGGGCGACGTGTACGTACATCTGTTGGCGAGCTCCGGCTGCCCAAGTCGACGCCGACTTGGCGGTTTCCCCGTCGACCAAATAACGGTCGAAGAGAAGGGCCTCGCTCTTGCTTGGGCGCAGCCGATCTCGCCGTCGAAGAAAAGTTCTCGACAGAGGGGTCGTCGAGTGGGCTTCTACAGTTCGACGGAGGTAGCGGTCGAGCAGGCTCTGCTCGACGAAATCTGGTCGACATCGTCAGGCAGCGCTGGTCGAAGACCGTGCTCGACGAGGCCCATCGAGGAGCGTTGGTCGACGAGGCTCGTCGAGGAACGCTATCGACGGCAGTGGTCGACGAGCCCGTCGAAAGCTCTGGTCGACCAAACCACTGAGGTGTGCGAAACTCTGAGGAGTCGTGCGAAATTCGCCCAGGAGGATTTGGCGAAATTCAACCTGCGGAACGGCATCACGTGCTCGACGGTGAGCACATGGCAAAAACCGTCGACACGCTTTTTACCTGGCACCTGCGCAATGTGCCAGACGGTGAAACCGTCGACCTGCACCTAGTTGGTAGGTGTGCACATATGCGAAGATAGTCACATGCGACTGCAGATAGTCCCCAACGACTTTAGTGCTGGCAGACCACGCGTTGTGCAACGCTCGCAGACCGCTCTGCTGTGGCGTTGTCGAGCCGCTCTTCCGCTGCACTGGCTGAAGTCACCCTGCAGAGTGCTTG